AGGGGGTGATGTTGCTGTAGTCGAACGGTGAGACGGACGTGTAGTTCAGTTTTGGGCACGCGTACGGTGCTGCAGGGATTATATATAGGTGTAGTAGTACCTCTTCGGGCTCTTGTACACCTTTTTCTTGCTACGTGTGCGTGTTCTTTAGATCCTCAGATGGCTCCAGCACTTTCGTGACCACGGGCCGAGAGTCTTTGCTAGATTTTGGCATTTAGCAACTGGCATACGGTTTAATGTGAAGTCAACAACAACAACAACACCAACACCTAACGTACGTACTTAAACCTCCGGCGAGATAGATCAGTACAATACATCTTACTTGCTGCACCGAGTACAACCGTACGCACCAAGTAAGGTCATTACTAGACTACGTGAGCGAACAAGCAGGGGAGTAAACGACGAGCAAGTCACACACGTCACTACACATCACATGGAGCAACATCAACCAGTATATCACCAAGTGAAACCATGGAACCAGCAGTAGTGCTTTCACGGCCCCGCAATCATGCAACCAACCCAACTCCTTCAGAATAACAAATCAACCATTCAATAGTCGACTCGACCCCACTGCTGCGTTCGGTGTCATGTCCTAGACACCGACCTCTCAGGAAAAAGGTCAACAAGCAACAGAGTTAAAGAACGGCAGTACATGCAAGGTGCCTTGTACCAAATCATGCACAGGGCAACATCTCCTGTCATTAGTAACTAAATACCAAGCAGATCACCGCAACAGCCAGTTCGAGCAAGGAACTTAACTTGGCCAGACCGAAACACCACCTTCAGGGAACCCCCGCACATATTTCGCAAGCAAGTCGAAACACAGAAAACAAAAAAATACACGTGGTGGAGGGCACACGCAGACTGCACAGGCCATGGCCAGTACTCTCGTCGAGTTGAGTAGGCCCATGGGCTAGCAATCATAATCATGCCCTCGCATTCACCGGCGAAATGAAAAAAAAGGTGCAACATCGCCCCAACATAACTCCACCAATCAATCTGTACACACACATCACGCTCACGGCTGGCTGCCCAGGGACCATTCATAATACCACCAGTGCGCCGGCGTCTTACCGCGGCCCGATCAAATCCCACCATTCCAAAATATCCCAGCACCCCAACCCATTTACAGGACAAGGCTTACAATATCTCAACATGCTGTAGTGCGCCAAGCTTACCGACGCAATCCAGAAATCCTCCTGCAAGCGACCCTCCCCGCGCCTCAAGCATTGGTTCAAATCTAAAAGGTACCCGGCCGGCCGACCCACCAGCTCCCAAGACAATCAATCATATGCATACGCTTGAGTTCACCAAAAAGGAGGGGATATCCAGCGATACGAGTGGCTCGCCTTTCAATCCCCGGCTTTTGCCAAAGACAAGGGTCTACCGAAATGCATACAAGTCTCCCGTATCTCCACATGTTCACACATCAAAATTCTACCCGCAGCATCTTCCCCTCTTTCTCCATCTATGCTTCTTGTCTGCGTGCCCCCTCTGCGACCCAAGGAATAGACGTCGCGTCCTCCGCTGACCGTCTGGGCTTAAAAAAGAACATACTCCAAACTAACGCTATAATATTGCTCATTAAAACTGTTGCGCTCATACCAATGTAACGGTAATATAGACTCCCAAGCAATCAAACAAAGGCTGTGCACACACTACCAAACTCAATACGGCAGTTGTAGTTTTTGCTTTTCCACCTCCACCTTTCTCTCCGTCCGGAGGTAAATTATGAGAGCGCTACCCGATGGTCTCCCGTTTGACTGTTTCAGTTTTACGAGGCCTTGTGCTACACTGGCAAACGTTGTTCATATAATTCCTCAGCGCCCTCCCCTCCCCCCTCTATAGCGTGTCGCCCCTCCTGCCCACCAGAAACCCCTCATGCAGCAATCCATCGTTCTCCTATGGCGAAACTCGTGTAACTGCAACACACACACACCACACCTTATCTTGTACGCATTAACCACGAACCCTCACCACAACGGGCACGCCTGCCTCTCGTCAGTCAAGCTAGCCACTTTCCTCCCCCGGCGCTCTCCACCAAACTCAGCCGACAAGTGCGCCGACGAACGCGGCTCCACCCGGAAAGACCTGCTAGCGGTGCCTTTCGTGCCGGCGGCCCTCGCCCAGGCGCTAACGTGGTCAACAAGGGCGTCACGGCTGGCCGCGCTGCGGCACTCCACCCAAGCCAGCGCGCCAAGCACACCCCGCTTGTGAAGGATCAGGCCGCAGCTGGGGGCCTCCAAATCGCTTCTTGCCCCGCTTGCTCCCCGCGGCTCCGTGGGTGCAAGGGGCACAGAGAGGTGGCTGAGGTCACAGGCGTTCAGCCCAACGTACCAGCTTCCCCTGGCGCTGGTAGTGAGGCCTTTCGTCTGGTGCCGAGTGACCGCTTCTGTGGGCAGCTCTAGGAGGTACAGCCAACCGCGGACGAGGAGGAGCGCATGGCGACAGTGCTCCGCTCGGACCCACCTGAAGAAATGGCACAAGGAGCGTTCGGTGCGTCGATTTAGGGCAGAGTCGAGATTGGAATTGAAGTCTCAAGCGTCAGAAAAAATCAAGGAGTTCGTAAGAAACGTAAGTGTGTACCGTAGGTGACATGGCGTAAGACATCACACCCTCTGGATCGATTTTCAAAACTCGATTACTCCACGACCAAGAATATGCCGATTCAAAGGATGCCTTTTCGAAAATCTCAGCGTTAGACGGCTCCAACGCCGCAATTTTCGGCACGGTCACTGTTTTTCCTGCCGAGTATTTGTAATCGATCTTCGAAAATCGGTCCAGGGGGGGTGATATCTTACGCAACCTACGGTACTTGACCACTCCATCGTCATCCAAATGATCTTCGTTATTTCTCAGGATGCAGTCATGAACACATGCCTAGTTATCGCACAACGGAAAAAACCTACCTGTGGTGACCGTTGAGCGACACGTATTCGGCCCAGAGGATGTCCTTGCCGGACCATGGCCACCCTCGACCCCTCGCACAGGCCAGGTAGCTAGAGAGAGCCACAATCTCCTCCTCCTCCTCTTCTCGGTCCAGGCGGGGCACCTCCCCACGGGACTGCTCGCTGAACGTGTCCTGTCGAGCGCTAACCGTTACCATAGGGAGCTCTGCTCCCTTTCCCGCCCCGCCCGCGGCGCGCACGCCCGCTAGGTGATGCTGCTTGCCCTTCTCCGACGCCTCCGTCCTCCTGTCCCTTGCTTCTACCCACCAATCGCCATCTCCATCGCAATCGCCTTGCGCTTGGTCGTCATCGCTCGCAGTGTCAGGCGGGAAAAACGCCGAGGACGACGTCATGCTTGACCCCATCGGCGGCTGCCTCCGCAATGCTGAGCTCTCGTTGTCGTCCTCGTCGTTATCGTATTCCTTGTCGCCACCGCCCATGTCCAAAGCACAGCACCCTGCGGCCTCCCCTCCCCCTACAGCCCCCAACAGACGCCGTTCTCGGCACGGAGTCTCCGAAGAAACCTCTCCTAGAGGGGAAGCCGTCGCTGGCGAGGGCGGGGCAGCAGCGGGGGAAGGAGGCATGCAGGTGGCATCCGCCCCGGTCTCGGTCTCGGTCTCGGTCTCGGTCTCCGGCACAACCGACCGGGGAGAGATGACCGGTACCCTAAGCGACATCCGGCCGAAAGTATTGTTGATCATGGAGCGAGTCCTGCTCATCGTCCTGCTGGGCTTCCCCCCCGGCGTGCCTCCGCCCCAGGGGTTGAGCGACCCCGTCGCCTGCTTCTGGGAGGAAGCGTTCCTCGGAGTGGCCGAGGGAGAGGGAGAAAAGAACCCCGACGAAAGGCCATCTTTGGCCCTGTTCTTTCTCCCACCGCCGCCGACGCTAGACCTCCGAGAGCTCTTCAGACGCCACGACACGCGTCGAACGTCAGTCAGGAGGGGTGCCAACGCCCTAGGTGTCCTGATAGAGATGGAGCGACGCGGGGAGTACGGCCGGGTGGTGGGGGAGATGGTGCCCAGAGCTGCCGGCGACGGGGGGGTAGAAGGCGCTCGCGCTGTGGATCGGTTGGTCGAAGGCGGTGCGGTGTACTGGCCGTTGCTGCTGCCTGGCGAGCGCGGGCCCACGGCCGATGCTGACAATGCTGCCCCCCCAAGCGTTCTCGGCACGGTCCCGAGGCCATACTCCTGCTTGGCCTGAGAATGGCTGTTGCTGCTGTTGTTGCTGTTGGTGCCGCCGCTGCTGAGGTTGCCTCTGAACATGCTGTCGATCTTGGCGGTGGTGGTAATGACGTGGGCTATGGGCGGTTTGAGCAGTCGTACATCTCCGGAAGAAGGTAGCCGTCGCACGTCTTGGGCGTCCGTGTCTGATGAAAGGATGTCTGAAAGGAGACCAGCTGGGCTCACGGTTGACTGTAGTGATTGGTATTTGTACGCACGTGCAGGCACAGCGACGGAGAGCACGAACGAACGCAAGACCGTGTGGGATAAGAACACGTGGTCATGTCTCACTCAGCACAACAAAAACAACAGCAATCTTGTGCACCAGCTGTTAAAGACATCGGTTTTTTGATTGATCGATTATGCTTGGGTTGGGGTTTCAGTTTAAGCTCCCTTGGCGATCGCGAAGCAAGCCCGAAAAATCACCTGAAACGAGTCGTGCGCGCTACCCTAACTACTAACCCTACCCTTCGATTTGAACCGCAATTTTGCACGAGGTCAGAATGCAAACGAAAATTGTGGTCGACACAATAGAATAGTCTAGAGCCAAAGAGTTGGAACTACATCTAGGTCAGCAAGCACGCCACTGGAAATCGCGAGAGGAGAGTGGGCTGACTGCACATGAGATGTTTCTCCTCCACCGGTGCCCCCCCAAGTCCCGATCACGCTGACACCCATCATACCACTTGAAGCGAGAAGCGAGGGGCGCATGCTACAGCAGTAAGACTACAAAAAGGCGAAATTACGGGGTGCGAGTACAATTTGCGGTGACCTTCGTGTTGGCGCAAACTTGTGCAACAGGAAACAGATGAAAGGGATCTATCTATCTCTCGCACTGCTTGACGCAACTACATCGCCCACTTTCGGTTCCGTCGTGTTTGACGCAACTGCTGGCTTTTGTCTGGGACAAAATGGTGGGGAACAATGGTCGCGAGTCTACCAATATGTACATATTTACGACGCTTTTCACACTTGAACAAACCGCCGCCGCTCCAACATGTACCGCAGAAGTTCAATTCTAGAGTGCAATGAACAGCAATCGGACGCAGATTTCGTGCATAGTCTTGACCTCTTTCAACGCGCCCGTTTACCGGTGTAGGTACCAAAATAGACCCACGGGACTTGTGTTCGGCAAAACCAATGTTCACATGCTGTTGGAATAATAAGCTAGCAGTTGGCAAATCATGGCGCAGAACACATGCCGAAATCACATAACCTGGCGGTATGTACACAAGGTTAAGGTTCAATGACGCACACGAGCATGAAGAGTGGGTGGGAAATTTCGGGGCTCCTTTCAATATGCGCTGCGTGAACCAGCAACCTCTGCCGGCTCTTTGGCTTCCCGATCGACCGTAAGCGCTAATTGTAGGTTGCGAGGCTGGGCTACTCGGCGGTTACTCGGCCTTGCCGTAACGCCAAAACGCAGCGGTCATGGACAGTCAGTGGATAGACAAGGATGAAGACCAGCGCGACATCAATGTCTATGATCACTCGTTGTCCGTCGAGGTGCGGAAGCTCAATTAAGCTTTCATGTTCGGTGGGGAAAGGGGAAACGGGGAATCTGTTGTCTACATAGCACCGCCGATCCCCGCTGCTGTGTCCAAAACTAGATCGAGCAAGGGAGCAACCAAAGCCGCGATATTGTACCTGCTACAGGGTAACGTCAGAAGTAGCTACCAACATAGCCTGCGTGAAGGAGACGATGTGAGGGTGGGAGGGAATGTGCTCACATCTATGTAGAACGGTAGTCTTCCTGCGTTTTCTAGAACCACCACATGCATGACCACGACATATCTACGCATACATACATACATGTAGCGGGAACCGACTCCGCATTACACATAGACTATAGACTATACATATTTGTTATTTAGACTATATATGTATTGTTTTTTTTAGTTGACTAGACTACTGGTTGTGGTATGTACAATTGTGTCATCTGCCTCCTCTCTGTCGTAAGGCGGTTGTGTTTGTCGTTCAAAATTCAACACAGCACGTGTTCCAACCTTGGATCAAATTGTTGGTGTAATGCGAAGTCGAAAACGTAATGGCCCCGTCCATGTGCCGTGGGTTACGAGGGAGCATATCCTGTGGATGTCTTTTAAACGGTGGCTTCGTCGACGAAGAGACCAAGGGCTCACCATGTCCGGCCGGTGCGTGAGCATGACCTACATATTATGCATATTATTGCGCGAAAAAGTTGATTCTATTGATTTCATCACAAGGTCCAGAACCTTCCGAACTGGAGGAGAGTGTGGTGTTCGAACTTGTGGAGTGTGGTGGCACAAAAATGCATCGCATATCTTTGGCAGGTCACGTTCATCAACAACGCAGGCAACGTTGGGGGAATCATCCGAAGCTGCATGTCCTGTGGACATTGCCGCATACAACGCTTTGCCAGCTAGCTTACAAGGTTGGGTAGCACATACAACACATGGGGGAGTCGAGGACCCTGACAATTTGGGAATACTGCTGTAATCTTGAAAATCTTGCTCACCGATGTTGCTGCTCGCCGCTCTTCGTGCTGGGGGTGGCAATCAAAGCAAACCCCGTGCTGCTTTTCTTTGATGCGAGCTCCTCCCGCTACACCACCGGTGGATGACGAAAACCCGTCCCTGCCCACCACTACCGCCATCTGTCCAGCCTCTTGCTCATGAGGACTGGTGCGTACCCGCGATTCCCGAGATGCCGATGATTGTGCGTTTGATGGTGGTAATCCTCCTCTTTCGGCGCACGGAGCAGCTTCTACAGCTTCTACAGCAGGCGGCAAGGATTTCCGCGAAGCTACCCCGGCTGCAGCCCAGCTGTCATCGCAAGAAGCCGTCCTGTGGCGGAAGCCCATCCGCAACCCCATGACAGAGAAGGATCTTCTGTGGTTGCTACCTTCATCTGTCGGCATCGCCACTGACCGGCTTGACAGCTGCGGAGCCAAAACTTGATCAACCCCTACCTGCCAGGCACCTGCCTGAGACCGTCCCTCCCTGGTTGGATGGAGGACTGGAGGGCGCGACGCTTGTGCAGCAGTCGAGCTTCTCCTGGGCGAGATGAGGGAGGGAGAGTGCGAGAGAGAGCGATAGGAAGGGTTGACTTGAATGATGATGAGTCCCCTGCTCTCACAGCGGCATTTACTGCTGAAAACTGCTGCAGAAGGTATGTGAACTAAGATGTGAAAGGGACAACAAGCCAGCTCTGTGTCAAGGCCAATCAGCAAGGAATTTCAGAACCAAAAAAAGAAAAGAGAAAGCGACCTCGTTCTGCCTCGTTTGTATGATGTGTGTTTAGGAAGCAGTTGCACAAGGTCCAACAACTCTCCGTCACGTTAGTTCGGAGCGATGCTGCGGCTTGACGTTGTCGAACAGCTTTCCCTCCGACCAGCAGCACTTTCCGCCAAAAGCTCACAACACATGCATGGATAGCATGTTCCGCGCTTACCTGTTCAACGTGACCCCTGATCAGGCTGGGTCGAAGTTGTTTGCTCCGCAAGTCAGTCAGTCAGTCAGACAAAGACACCGCAGACAAGGTTGTCTTCTTGCGTATCTCTCCCGCCGTGACTGCCAAATGTGATGTGTCTGCTCTTCTTCTTGACGCAGGTCCTCGCTCTGCCTCACACGTTCCTCGACCCTCAATAGGATGCAACGTGAAAAATACCCAACGGCCGGGGTAGGTGTAGCCAGGTAGACCGGGGGGGGGATGATATATGGGATGGAGGGAAGATGTGTGAGAGCCAGACGGGGCGGCGCCTCTTTTATCGCTCCTTCTCTCTCCTTCCTCTGAGCGTTTTTTTTTTGTTCTTCTGCGTGTATCTTGCTCATACCTAGCGCATCCATGCAGCAGTACATGTACTCGTGACAAGATCACCGAGGTCTACAGGTTGTACAAATGAGCCCCGGTGGTCTAGTTCGTATCCTCGAAACCTGCTAGAGGTCAGGTCAGGGGTTTCGAATCCCGGCGCAAGCGAACTTTTCTTGCAACGCGAGTTTCTCTCTCGCTTCCAGTGGATAGCGCTAGTTCGTGTGTACACAGATGGAAGAGAGTGCTGAACTCTTCTCGCATTAAAAATCAAAGGCAACAAGCAGCAGGAGGGGAGGGTAGAGAGGGGCACTTCTGTGTGACCACGGGTTGGAGTAAACGGCACTAGGTGCTATGAGCGCTGATTTGAACTGACGACGAAAAAAAAAAAATGCAGACAACAGATGGTGGATACATACCAACGTTGATACAACCAACGTCCGATTCTCGTACAAAATCTCGGACAAAATCTCGGACAAAATCTCGGACAAACGTAAAGAGTGCAAAAGGGAAGAAGAGTGCTCAACCTTTGCTTCACCCGTTGGCATTCCTACAACTACATCGTCTGAGACATCAACTTAGCCGTCGCGAGGGAAGGGCCTGCTGAACCCTCCTCGCGAAAAAAATATTTCAGGAAGGCACCGCAGGAGGTAGGTGGGGACAACACAAAAAAAAGAAGAAAAAAACCGGTGTGGGTACCCCTTCCTGTGTGACCCCAGACGGTCCGTCTAGCTAGTTGTAGTGTACCAAGTACGCTAGGCGTAAGTGCACACACATACATACGCGGCAAACGTTGGTTGTAAGCAGGCGGCGCCAGAGATGGGACGAAAAAAAAAACCCGTCTGGGTATGTATGAATGTCGAATCGCCGCCGCTGAGTGCTAATTAGTTAGGTAAACGTGCGACTATCCCGAACACGAAATAGGGGGCCTCTTGCATCCTTCCATCCGCCTCTTGTTGTTTTGTTGAAAAAACTGAGGCAAAATTTTGAAGCAAGCACCACAGGGGAACGTCGGACAAAAAAAAATCATGTGACAGCCAACAGCTATAATTCTGTATATCCATCGCGAGGAGGGTCCAGCCCCTTTGTCGTGCGTCAAACATAGCCATATATATATATATATATATGCAAACTACCCGACAAATACAGTAGGTGTACATAGGCTGAGAAGCTATCTGGCGCAGGAGGTTGGGCGAACAACGAAACAAACAAAAAAGCTCAAGAAAACATGCTCTCCCACCCCCCCTTACCAGTCACGACGTTCCCGAGATCTACGAACGGCACACAAGTGGTGCATCTACACGCTACCTGGTCGTCAACAGAAGCCCAATCCCCGCAGCCTTGTACCGGACTACATAGACGAAAGCATCGCAAGGGCTTCACGATCGACGGCTGACACACCACATGTGCAATACCCTCCCGTATCAAGCCGCGGGTTTTCTCGACAGAGCAGTGCTTGCAACAGAATCCCAGGGTCGGCGGACACCGTTTACCTAAACTCTAAGAAATGGAACGAACACAAATCCCGAAACTTCAGAACATGTCAGTGCATCATAGCGGAAACGAAAGCTGGTCCTCTGATTGGTCAAAATATAGGTGCAACAGCTGCGCGTCTGGAGACACACGTGTCTCGTCACAGCAGCGACCACGAGCCAGCTAAGCGTGCGCTAGAGCAATCGCAAAACAAAAGACTCTCACCAACCATGCCAGGCGAAAGAGAGAGAGAGAGAGAGAGAGAGAGAGAGAGAGAGAGAGAGAGAGAGAGAGAGAGAGAG